AACATGCCCAGCTCTTTAAGTCACTCCTCATAGGGTGTGTTCTCCATACCCTTGATCATTTTAGTTACCTTCCTCTGGACACATTCCAGCTTGTCAACATCTCCTTTCAATTCTGGTGTCCAGAATTGGACACAGTATTCCAGGTTTGGTCTGACCAAGGCAGAATAGAGGGACAGCCTGACTTCTCTGGATCTGAACACTAGACTCCTATTTATTCAGGCCAAAATCCCATTGGCCACCACTCGACTAACTTGTCCTCAAGAACTCCAAATTTGGATCATGTTGAAATACTACTCAGTCAATACATTATTTGGAGTTGGAGCACATCCTTGTACTTTATATCTGCCTATTTGTCCCTTGCAGATGTGTTTCAAAGTGTAAATTGTCTCATTGAGCACCTTGAAGAAAGAATGAATGGAATAAATGAGGAGATTATTGGTTTATAATGTAAAGGTTTTGTGTGTGCCTGTACAAATACTCAGTGGTGACATAGTAGAGTTAAACATATAGATCTGAAGACTCAATCATCATGAAGATGAAGTAAAGAAAAATAAAATTTGATAATTTATTTTACCAGAATCAATAATGAATAATTTTATGAGATCCTAGTAATAAAGAATGATATACTACATAACAATGTTTGATTTTTTTTCTATTCCTGGTTTGAAAGTGTTACTTCCCATTTAATTATATGGTACTTACTTTGAAAATAGTTGTTATACTCCAGAAATGTTGTCTTTGTAACTGCCACAAACTGTGGCTGAGAATCTGTGAGATATTCATGGAAAAACTATAGCAAAATGTGCTGCAGGTTGTTCCGCAAAAATTAAAGTTTTTGCAATTTAATAAACTTTCCCCATGTTTTTATGATAGAACTAATTAGGAAATACATTTTAAATCCAGGAACAAAATTGTTTTACATCATGTTATGAGAAAAGCTTAACATGGCAGTACATTATGATATTCACAAGTGATAATAAATTTATTGAAGGTTGTACATTATTTTGTGTGTACCTTATAGGCTAGATAGTTGACTTTAAAGTTTTATAAACTGTCTAAAACATTTACCAGCAAGACATTTTTATTTTGTTACTTTCTTTTTACTGTCTCTAGAAGCAAAGGATATATTCCAAGCAACTACGTAACAGGAAAGAAGTCCAATAGTCTAGACCAGTATGAGTAAGTAAAAATACACCTATAATCCACAAGAACAAACTATTCTTATATGTTTTGGAAATTGTGTGAAAAAATATATGAGATTGAGCTCTCAAGTTGTTCATTTCTTGCTTTAAGGGTACATTTAAGAACTTCTCCTGAGCACATCTAAAACTTTCCAAATTCACTCAGAAAGCTGGATAATTTGAAATCATTCTTCATGGTGCTACCCCCAACCCCCAAAATCCTCACGAACTAACTAGCTAGGACTAAGTGTTATCAGTACTAATATAAAACGTTAAGCCATGAGTGAATTAGGATACACAAAGTAGCTCCAAGTGAAAAGATATAATAGAAGAGAAATCCCCATGGTTTTCTTTACCTTTGGTTATGAGATCAGCTGTCTTTTGACTTTTAGAGGGATTCTCGAAAATTGTAGCATCCAAGATCAAAAGCTCAACATATTATGCCTTTTAATATGTATTTTTCCTCTGTAGATGGTATTGTAGAAATCTGAACAGAAGCAAAGCTGAACAGCTCCTCAGAAATGAGGTGAGCCTTTGTATGATTGTACTGTTTCTAAGGGAACCAGGATGTTTCCTTATCACACTACACTGTTATAGCACTATAATCCACTTTAACAGCCATGGGAACAGCCTATGAAATCCTGGGATCTACAGTTTAGTGAGGGACATTTAGAATTCTAAGCTGGAGAGTTTTTTGGTCCCCAGGAAACTACAAACCCCAGAATCCTCATGGCACTTGGAGGGGGGGG